CCGGCACAGCAATCCCTGGGGCTGGCTGCGACTGACATCGAATTGGGTCTCAAAACCGGAGTGGTCCCCCTTGTTTGAACCACTAAACAAGCGGTCCAAGGTGACAGGAGCCTCTCAGCCGATGCTGTGCACTGCATCTGCCCCACTGCCGGGCTTGAGGGGAGCAGGGTGGCTGCAGAAATAACCCCCTGCCTCCCTTCACGTGCCGCCTGGCGACCTGTTAGCAAACAACCCTGGGGGTGGAGGGGAAGAAAGAAAAAGTACGATCTGTGCAGGTTGAGGCTGTGGGATTCCTGCAGATGCATCCTGTCCACGGCCCTCCGCGAGTACAACAGGAAAAGGAACCACTGCTCCCTCCAAAAGCACCGCGGCACGGGGCTGGGGACGCTCCCGCTGCTGGCAGCCAGCACCGGGCTGGCTCTCACTGCCGTCCAGCCTCCTTGGCAGCCCCGGACTGCTGGGAGCTTCGGGGACTCCCCACATCAGGCACTGGCTCGTGCTCTGCCCGATGCTCCACACCGGGGCTGGCATCTTGAGATGCCAATGCCCACAGCCACCCATGGCAAAGGGATGCACAGAGCCATTCCTAGCCTGCAAAGGCATCTTCAGGCTTTCCCCCCCAAAATTCTCCATGCCTCTCTGTGCTTGCCAGATGGATCCACCCCATTGCTGCCCTTGCCCTTTCCCTCCCCAGGGGAGCGTGTGCCCTGCTATGGCTCTCTCCAGTGTCTCTCTCCCCAGCACTGAACTTGGTGCTGGATTTGGCCATTAAATCTCTGCGGACCGACACACAGATGGTTTCTGTCTCCGGCAAATCCCAGGGTGTGAGGGAGATGTCTCCAGAGCATGGAGCGTCTCCTCTCCTCCCTCCTTCCCCACCTCCAACCCCGGCAATGCTTTATCTCCCCAGCCGTCCGAGCAGATCCCGCTCTCTTGTGCACACCAAATCGCGCCCTTGCACAGGGAGAGCATTAATGTAATTAAAAAGGCATGCGGCAGCCCCGGCAAGCTTTGTTTTTTCAAGATGGTTTCCAAGCAAGTTGGCAGTGGGATATTAAAATAAACAGAGGGGGATTGATGGGATGCGGGGAGAGGAAGCAGGATCCCACAGCCACTCACACCTTGTCTATTTTCAGAGAAGTGCGTTTCCCAGCGGTTTTCCTAGCCTTGATCTCTCAGCACGCGGCTCTGAAAGGGGCCAGGCTGTACCGAAGACCTTCTCCTTATCACTGGTGGCTCCTTCATTTTCTCCAGCCCCCTCTGCCTCTTTCTGCACCCTGAAATCACTGCTGCTCACAGCACAGCGGCTGGGCTGCCCATTGGGGTCCCGCATGCCGGGGCTCTCCCTGCCTGCTGGGGAAGCCATGCTTGCCCTGGAAAGTGCTACCCACCCAAGGGTGTCCTGCAGAGCCCGAGCAGCCTGCAGGCTCCAGCCTTGTGTCTGATGTCACCTCTCCACCCTTGAACATGTTGTGCGAAAAGCTTCACGTGGGGCCTGGTTTTCCCTTGCGATAGCTGCCGACAGCTAAATCACTGCAGAGCAGGGTCTGTGCCAGAGCCAGCACTGCCGCAGCGAGCGACGGCTTTGGAAACCCATGCAAAGGCTGTGCTTGGGTGAAGGCGCGGGCATGGCATGGCATGGTATGGCACGACACAGCTCCTGCTCTCCGTCTGCTTCCACTTGCAGGAAGCCCTGCACCGGATCCTCCCTCCGAGCCTCCCACCACCACCTCAGCCCCTCTCTGCTTCCCCTTCCCTCCCTCTCTGCTGAGTCGGCCCCGCTGACTGATTAACGGGGCGCCTTTCCGGAGAGGGATTTTGTTCACACTCTGTCCTTCTTGCTGACTTCCTTCCCCGACACTGGACTGGATCGCTCTGGCCACAGCCACCGCGTGTCCCCAGCTAACCGGCACAGCTCATGCTCCTGCCACCAAACTTACTGCTTTAGGGTTTTGTGACCAGAGCTGCAAAATAACATACATGGAGCAAAGCTGGTCCAGATGAGGCTGTGTGCTCCTGCTTGTCTCCCTACACCTCACATACCCAGCCTGGCCACCCCAGTGCTGTACTGGGGCAAAAGATAGGCTGGAAGGGAAACAGAGCGTTTCCCCAGCAAAGGTACCCTGACCCTGCTACCGCCCCATCTCTGCTTTGCTGTATTCAGGCAAAAATTCCCAGTCAATGAGCATCCCAACAAAGCAAGGCAGGAACTTGAGATTTCAACACGTTCTACAGAAGTGTTTGACATGGTCTCATATGACATCCTTGTCTCTAAATCGGAGAGACATGAATTTGACAGATGGACCACTCCGTGGATAAGGAATTGGCTGGATGGTTGCACTCAAAGAGTTGCGGTCAACGGCCCAATGTCTGAGTGGAGACCGGTGACGAGTGGCGTTCC